GCTCCCCGCTCCCAGACGGGGAGGGTAACGGAGGGGTAAGGGGTTTAAACCAAACCGGGAGATTTAGACTGGATCTAAGGAAGAAATTCTTTACAACGAGGGTGGTGAAACACTGGAAGGGGTTGCCCAGAGGGGTGGTGGAGGCCCCATCCCTGGGAACATTCAAGGCCAGGTTCTGAGCAACCTGATCTGGGTAAAGGTGTCCCTGCTCCCTGCAGGGGGTTGGACTGGATGGGGTCTAAAGGTCCCTTCCAACCCAAAACATTCCATGATTCTATTCTATGATTTCACTGGGTGGAGAAACCACCATTCCTAATTGGAAGCCCGTGGCCAGGAGACGACTGTTCAGCTCCTCTGCCAGCACACCCGGGCTGACCCATGTACCCTGCCAGGGATGTTACAGCTATGGCAGGGCTGGGCACAGTGTCCCCCTTCATGCTGGCAAAAAGTTCACCCCAGCCCCCCTAGCAGCTCTGGGCCTGGGAGAAGGGTGCGAGGAAATGGCCCCTTTGGGTGGAGAAGGGAGGCAAGAGCAGGCACTGCCTCAGTGGCATAAGGTGAGGTGCCATTAGGTGCCCCAAACCATGGGTGCCACACACTTACGTCCGCGTCTTCGTGCTTGTTGACGCCATGGAAGTAGAAGGGCTTGCCGTTGATGAGGAACTGCGTGCTGGTGACGTGGACGGTGCGGATGCCGACCGGGAGCGTGTATACATCCTCCAGCAGCGCCCCGTTCACCTGCGCCTGCATTTTCACCTGGATTTCCAAAGGGGAGATGCAAGTGACGTGCTGGGCTTCACAAGGATGCCGTGTCCTCCCTCCCCCTTGTCTGTAAGGGCTATCCTGACCCCCCGTCCATTTTCCAGCCCTGCCTCAGCACGCTGCCTGTTCCTCACTGCTGCCTCAGCTGATTCTTGTGGTCCCCATGTACCTTTTCAGGGAAGGAGCAAGGTGTGACTAAACAGAAAATAGAAATCCAAGCTGGGGAAGTTGAAGGATGAATAATGAAGCCTGGATGACCCTTTGGGGCTTGCTCACCCTAAGAGCTTCAGTTTCTTTTCCCCTTACTTATCTGGGCCATTTCATCCTCCCAGGCAAGGCAGCGGTACATCTCTTCTGCCCTGCACCTTGATACCAGGCAACTACTGAAGTGTCATCTGCTTGTAATAGATGCAAACCTGAGCCCCTGGAAACTCACAGCAGCTCATCTGCCTTAATTTCTGCATCTAAGTGTCACTACTCATCCTTAACTCACGGAGTCTTCCAGGCTTGTGCTACTGATGCTGAACTCTTGTGTTGCAGAGTGGGAAGAAAGCTTGTTGCATGGCAAAGCATGTGGAAGAGGTTAGCAGCCTGCTCCTCAGAGACTCTCCGCTTTTGCGGTATCTCCTCCCCTGTAGTGTCTCAAATGGTCCTTTTGCAAGGGATGGATTTGGCCCTAAATGTAAAGGGCAAGTATCTGAGAGTGCATGCATGCACAGCGTGATTTGATTACTGTATAATTAGCAATGCCACTCTGGTCATGTGAACAGGGTCCATGGGAGAAGATGAGTATGGAAGATGGGCCATATGGCAGTTCCTTACCCCTATCAGACAGATGGAGGAAACGCACACAGAAAGGAAGAAATGTCACTGTTACCTCTAAGGAATAGCGGTATCCAGGGTTCTCATGCATCAGGTAAGGCCACCAAAGATTTGGGTTCAGGACTTTTAGCTTTCCAGTGGGCCCATCACCTGTAGCAACGACTTTCCCATCTTGGTCACGTAAACTCAGGGACAAGGAATAGAGTGTGCTGCCAACAACCGACACCTCATATTGCACCATCGCTGGTTCAAAGGAAACAAAAGACAATCAGAGGCTTCCAGTGAAAGGAAAAATGAACGCATCAAATGTTGGAGGGTTTTCACATACAGCAGCATTAAAAGATGAGGCATATGTAGAACAACAACAGAGTGGCATGAATTGAATGTAAGAAGCATGACCTATCTGTCTTGAGGTTCAGAAGTTTCCAGCAAGATTTGTGTATCACACAACTCTCTTACTTCGAGATAATCCTGCTTTAAGTGGCAGGAATATTGCCCCTACAGAGAAATTCTACTTTGAGAAACACCTGATCACCCTTTAACTTTAACAGCAGACTCAGGCAAGCACTTCTTTTTTTCGTATTGCTTCTGAACTCTTCACCATATACTTGCAGCTGCTGAGCCGCGCGATAGACCAGGTTCAAGAAAAAACCGCTACAAAACAAATTCAATTGGACTTTCGCAGGATATGTTCTCTGCTGCCCTTGTCATCTCCATTTGGAGCCTGATGTAGCTGCTGTAATTGTTCTGGACCTACCAATGCTCTCTGATGAAGCAGTTGTCACAGTAATATCATCTATGTAGACAGAAGGAGTGGTGTAAAGCACAACCGGGCGATGGATTCCAGCATAATTAAAGAAATCGAACCTGATGTTCTGTACAAAATAGTTCTTGGGATACCTGAGTGAGCAAGACAGGAGAAATGGCCATGTTATGTTTCATTACACAAGAACTGAAGGCAGCACATGGATGCTAGCAAGGTAAAATAGTCATGTAAAAATAGGTGCTAGCAGGTAAAATAGTTTTTACAACAGGATGGATCGATCTATCTCTCAGTAGTGCTACTGCTGCTACGCTGAAGGGCACTATCAGTTAACAAACATCTAATGCACTGAATGGGTTTGATCCTTCAGGATAACTAGTACTTGCAGTTTCCAGCTGGATCCAAGCTTGTCAAATCTGCCATTGATTCAACCTGGCAAATCACTTATCCTGCAAGATGCAAGAACTCAGTGCAGATTCCTCTTAACACCAAAGCTTAAACTCCTCCCTGCTTGACTGATGAAATTTCAGCATAAATACAGCCCATGCTTTTCTAAGTTGCTTGGAGGGCCTTATGAGCCAGCAGCTGAATAAATTCCCATTCTCTCACCCCTGGGATAAGCTCAGCAGTACAGCGCTTCAGCAACTCACTTTGTTTTGTCATTCATGTACTGAATTGACCCCGGAGGCAGAGTGTGGGGTGTCAGGGTGTTGTTGAGCGCGACAGTGATGCGGCAGGGGATCCCTGGGCTGCCCTGGACAATGCTGCTTATATCTGCTTCAAAAGGGAGGTGCCCCCCTTCGTGCTCCACGACTTGCACGCCGTTGACCCACTGCAAGAGAAGACACCTGTGAGCCCGAGAGGCAGGGTTATTGGGTTTTTGTGCCAGGCATAGGCAGGAGAAGGGAAGGAGCCCAGCAAAGGGCAGTCGGGATTCCCAGTAACACTGAACCTTGTTCTGGGCTCTTACTCCTTGAGGGATCAATCTAGCAGCCCTTCCTTTACTGGGAGCTAGGTCTGGGTCACTTACAAGCATCACCAAGACACACACTTTTGGGCAGGTCCTGTGGCAAAGAAACATTTTAGTTGCTAGTCCTGATATTGGAGGATCAGAGAAGAGAGACTTGGCCAAGTTCTTGGCTGGAGGAAAACAGCCAAGAGTTAAGAAAACAACAAACTGACATAAAATCTAGGCAGAGATGTGTCTGCTGAAGAAGTCATAGGAGAGATTTTAGTGCAGCGTGATTTTGGAAACACGTGGACAATTTCCCATGCAACGTACCACAATGGAGTAGTAATGGGCACTACCAAAACGGAGCACCACTCTGGTGTTGAGGTTGTCCTGAAGCCAGCGGAGAGGAAGCAGCACCTCTTTCTCATACCAAACCCAGCCGATGTAGTTCTCCAAGCTGGGGTCTTGAGTGATATCGTTGAAGCTGGCAGGCACTGGCATGTCGATCACAGGACCAGTCTGGCAGGAATTGCACAGAAAGGGAAAGAACAACTTATTTAATGGAAGATGTCTTGGCTGTCCAACCTGTCCTGCTGGAGGTGTCCCCTTCCACTGACAGTGTTACCATCCCTTTGCCAAGTGGAAATACTTGGGAAAACCTGTTTAGAAACTGCTGTGATCTGTCACAGGTCCTGTACAAGTCCTACTAACATCAGGCCCAGAACCTGCCTGTTCCTACAGGAGGAAGCTGCTTGTATCTTTCTCCCCTCTTGATTTTATTAATGGCTCTGGGCATTGCAGACTTGGAAAAGCAAGGGGAAAAAAAATAAATCCTCGGGTCATTGTTTCAGCCTGGGATTTCCCACAAACTGTTGTTTGTGGCTGTTTGGTGAGCAACACTGGTGCTGTGGTGTCAGTTCACTGGCACGGGGTGCTGCTCGTCAGGCTAAGCACTGTAGTAGAAAGGTAGAAAGAGTTACGGATATTTTGGGCCAGATCCCCCAGGGAAGATCTGTGGAGACTGGCTGGGATGAGTCCAGCCTTTCTAACTCGCTGAAAGCAACACAGATTCGTTCGGATTACAACAGAGTCAATTCAGTTGCTTATTTTTAATATAAGGATTATAGGCGGGCAGTGTCGTAAGACATCTAACACTGAGGTAACCGGATGCTATTGCAAAATGGAGCTGTTCATTTTTAGCACCTGCCGCGCTCGTGATGTCGCATAACCGAGCGCTGCAGCAGCGCACAGCGGCAGCAGCTTCCCCTTTCCTAAGTAAGCCTTTCCACGGAGAGCGGAATGAGGAAGGTCTGGTCGCCCGGGGGTGAGCATCATGTGCGTGGCTGACTCAGCACCGAACAGTACCAGTACTGCAGAGAAACTTAGCACCCGTATTAGACATCAGAAAATCCTAGCAGGAAAATCCTTGGATGGTGAAGTGGATCTTCTAGTATCCGATACAGGATACCCTTTGACTGGGATGGCCGTAACGTGTGTCTCCTTCAGGGAGGTTCTCTGATGTCTAAAGTAAGTTGAGCATACACGTCTAAGCCTCCCTTTGCAGGGTGCATAGTCCTCTCCTCTGGCTCCCTCTTTTTGCAGAACTCCTAGCAGTGTAGCATCTTCCAGCTCTTCTCTCCTTCCACAATTTGGCAAAAAAATTGGCCAAAGGGCTAAAATTTGGAAAAATCTTGGCCAAAGGGCTAAAATAGACATGAAGAAGGACGCATACTTTTTATACGTAGAATACATAACTTCTTTCTTTTAGGGAGTGGTGTTAATTTCATAATGGACTTCAGTTACACCAGAAGTTATCTGCACTCGGCTGCTTTGGAATAAGTAACTCAAGAGTGCCCTTTCCAGCACGTTTTTGCTTATTCTATGCCGACGACGACAGGCAAATGTTGTGCAAGGCCAGCCTTGCCTTTGCCGCCCAGGGATGCCTCCGACAGCTAAAGGCGGCTGCAGGTCAC